GCAGTCACCGCTGGCAGAGCACGGAGCGAGGCGGTTCAGTGGGATGCTGCTGCCTGTGATGGGCTTCTCCCCGCCCGGGTGTGAGCCATTCGCAAGGACAAGGGGGGGTCTGAGATCTGCGTCCCCGGGACCGTTTGCGGTGAGTGACCCCGGCCAACGCCGAGACTCTGTGTGCGTCTGCTTCTTTGACAGGAGGAGTAAAGTCTTAAACAACCTCTACATGAATCTGTACGAGGAGGTGGGGGAAGACGAGCCGTGGGCTGTGCAGAGAGTGGAAGGTAACCCGGACTCACGCGTGCCCCCCTCGCACCCCAGAAATCGAATCGGCTCAGAGAGGCCGATTGCAGCTGGTGGGAAATGATTTCTTTGGTCCTCCCACCAAAAAAAAAAATGCTCGGCGGAAATGAAAGTTTTGGTTTTTGTTTTTTTTCATGTGTGGTGAAATCGTTCAGGTGTTTGTTAAAAACTAAATTTTTGTGGGGGTGGAGAGGGCAGGAGGGTTGGGGGGTTCACTGTTTTAAATAATAACAGACCTGTGTCCCCTGTTCACAGGCTGTCCGTGCACTCAGATATGCTCAGGAAGATGATCTGAATCCTGTCCGAGTTTCTGAGGGGCGGGGGAATTGGGAGCAGTAAATGCTTTAAGAAAAACCCACGATTTCTGGAAGGGATGGTTCCCTCTAGCTGCGGAGCCCGGGCGGCCTAGGACATGGAGGCCTGGGTTCTGTTCCCTGGTCTGCTGGGTGACTTAAGCAAGTCACTTCCCTGCTCGGTGCCTCAGTTTCCCCATCTCTCAAATGGGACTAATGGCACCTTTGTAAAGCTCTGGGAGATGGCCAGAGGAAAAGCCAGCCAGCCCTAGGCAAGCGGCAGGTATTAGCTGTTGGGGCGGGGGGGTCAGGAGGAGACTTTACCTGCGGACAGGTAGCCACAGCTTCCTGCTGCAGGGGGCCTTACCTTCCTCAGAAGCAGTGAGTCAGTAGCGGCTCTGGGTTTTGTATCAAAGGGCCCAGACAGCTCCCTGCAGGATCGTGCTTCGTGCCATCGCTCACACCCTGTGCATAGTGGGGGAGGAATGTGACCGGTCAGATCTGGTGGCCTCGTGCACCCGCTGGGCGTAATGGCAACGGGAGGCCAGAGAGAATCGGTTCCCAGAATCTGGTCTGGAACTTGGAAGGGTTGTGTTAATTATCCCCACTGGTGGCCTGGGTTGCAGCCTCCTTGGTAAGGCACATCGGTTCCTAGAGCGAGCCTTGTGCAGGTCCATGGCCTGCCCCTCTCAGTGCCAGGCTCCTGGGAGCAGATTCGGAGTCCCTGTGGCTAGCTCCACAGCATGCATTCTGGCCAAGAGCAGGACGGTGCCCCCTGCCTTGGGAGCGTACCCTGACCCGCTGTCCCCTGGCTTGCCTGCTCTAGGATTGCCGAAAGCCTGCTTCGTCTTCAGCGCCATCCGAAACGGGAGAATTCACGTCAACGACCTGCTCCTGACCCTTCACACGCTGGGGATCCTCGTGACCAGCACGGAGATGCGGAAGGTGCTGAAGGCCATCGACATTGACGGTGAGCGGCCCCGCTCGTCTCGCTGGTTTTTCCCAGCCCCTCCCCCTGTGACCCGCTCTTCTCTGTTGCAGCAAACGGGAGCCTGACCTTCACCGATTTCCTGGAAGCTTTGGATGAGACCTCGCCCTTTGCCCAGACTGAGGGTGAGTGAGGGGGAAAGGAGGAGGAGACAGGGAGGCTAGAGATAGAGCAGTGGGACAGAGCAGTGCATTGCTTCTCTGTAATTATCCGTCCATCCACCACAATAACCTAGCTCAATTTCATTGATTTTTTTTTCCCCAATACACAGTTATATTTCCTAGAGTAATCGGAACACTGCACAAGGCCTTCACCTCATTAGGGTGAGAATACAGTCGATACCCGCTGGATTCTACCCTGGTCTCTGTGCCAGTATCCTGGGTGATGTTTCTCTAGATACAAAGAGCAAAGTGACTTGCAAATCAAAGGAACCAAATGAGGAAGAACTCGAGTTCACCTTGATGGTCCCGTGAAAGAACACACTGTGATTATATGCATGTGCCCGTGCACACATGAGTGTGTATATGGCCCTTCCCACTGTCTGCATCGAAATTCAAGTGCACAGTATGTGAAAATAAAACCCTCTGGTACGTTACTAGACTAGATCGGGGCAGCTACCGGATTTTTCATTTTGCAGGAAAATCCACGATTTTGAAATTTTGTTTCCATTCAGAAACAGAACAAGAACAAAAGTGCACAACCTTTTCCTGTGCCATGAAATTCTGGAAAAGAAAAACCCATTTCAGGCCGATCGAAAAGTTTTTTGTTTTGCTAAAATGGAAACGGTTTGTTCGGATTCTGATTTAATGGGACATATAGAATATCATTTAAAAAGGGAAACAAAAAGTCTTATCGGAGCAGGAGATCAAACCGCTTCATCCCCAAAGGAAGCAGAGACGCATGTGTTCAGATTTTCTCTCTACATCAAATCACGTCAAAATTGACACATGTCCCCGAACCGTTTGGCTTTCGACGGCGCGGCATTTTCCATCAGATTCTGACCTGCTCTAAACTAGACACACCTCAGCAAACTCCTCAGAAAGAGGAGTCCCTGGTGGTTGGGTCCTGCTCCTGCACCGTTTCCTGGACCTTTCTGGGGCTCAGTAGCGTGCTATTGTTCCCTGTGTCGCGTGCAGCCTTCCAGAACACCTACCAAGCCTTCAGCAAGATGAGAAAGGGCCTGATCACTGTCGATGACCTGCAGCCTGCTCTGATCAGCATGGGCGTCGGGTTAAACTTTGAGACGCTGCAGGAGGCACTGAAACACGTTTACGTGAACAGTGAGTCTCTCACCTGCGGGTGCGTGGCCACGGGTCCCCGTGTGGAAGAACGTGTGATCCCTTTAAAGTAAAATGCCAGCACCTAGGGCCAGATCCTGCCTTGGGCTGCAAGAGCATTTGGCCTCCTGACCCTGTGCAGGTAGCAAAGCAAGATCTCCCCTTAGTGCTCCTGACAGATCCTGCTACCATGATCCCCGGTGCTGCCTGCTAGAGGGGTGAGCGAGACATGCGCACTGCAGCTGGAAGCAGGCATGGTTCCTGGTCAAGGGAGCGGTCACACACTGCATGGGCAGGGTGGCATTCTCAGCCCCATTGCAGAGGTAGAGAATCCCAACGCACACGGCGTTGCGAGGCGGCTGCTGGAAGGGGACAGCGTTACAGGGCTAAATCCTGACCTGGTTTACACCAGTGCAAACTGGGTATGACTCCAGTGAAATCCATGGTCTGAAACCAGCATAAGCGAGAAGAGAAGCAGATACATAAAGTCCTCTGTGTGTAGGAGGCTCTGGGGTGGGAGGGAGACGCCCCTTCCCCTTTCCAGCGGCTGATGGGACTGGAAGTGACCTCCAGAGAATGGAATCTTGGCCCTCCCCGCTCACAGCAGATGGGGGTGAAGTCCAGTGAAAAAATGGAGTGTGGAGGGAGGGGGGGCTCTGTCGTAATCTGGGAGCAGCAGGTGTGGTAAGACAGTGCCTGACGGGCATCCCTCAGCCACCCAGCTCAGGTTTTCATTTTTGTGAGTATATGTTTTTGGTGGGGTCTGTGACCCCTTGTGCCCTCCCCACACTCCTCTTGGAGCACTGGCAGAGCTCCCCACCCGGGTATGGCTGCTGGACCTCACTTGCAATCTTTTTTAGTAGCTGCTGGCCGGTAGGCGTCCGGTAAATGTGCCACGTCCGGTCGAGCCATTTGCCTTTCACTCCTGCCCTGGGTTTCTCTGGCTGAAATACTCTGTTGCTTGTACCCCCGTATACCACCCAGCCCATGCTCTCGGACCCCCACGCCCCCGTATACCACCCAGCCCATGGTTTCGGAGCTAGCTAGACCTCTACCGGGTAGTGTAAACTCCCAGGCAGGAGGCGGATGGGGCCCTCACGCAGAGGCCCTGCTCCAAGCCTGGCCGGCTCTTTTCCTTGCAGAGGACAGGCAGCTGAACATCTCGGATTTCCTGATGGCCATAAGCGACCTCGAGCATCACTACGAGGATGTGGGTGAGTGAGAGGCCCAGGCTGGCCCAACCCTGGAGCGCCGGATATGGTGGCTGCCATCTTGAGGCTTGAACCAGGGACCTGTTGAGCTGTCATCGACTCACATCGTCCGTGGATCAGGCACACGGACCGGGGCGTCGCACGGAGTCTAAGTCCTGGCGAGGCCAACTGGCCCTGGCTGCTGGTGTCAAACCTGGGCCCAGATTCACCCAACCCGGGCACCAATTTGATGCCGCAGCATGTGGCATCTTTTCACAAGGTTTCCGTGCAGACCTGAGTGAGGCTCATGGGCTGGCACTCAGCTTCACTGTGGCTCTTAGGCATTAAACTCAGAGCAAATCGGGGCGGGCGTGACCCTCAGCAGCTCAGGCTCAAAGCAATTGCCGGCCTGTGCCCCTGTAGAGTGACCGTGACCCCCTTTCAGAGCCCCCACTGCCTGGATTTCACACCAGCCCGTTGATTTTTCTTTCCTTGCCAGTTCTACTCCATTGCACCCCCATATGCTCCTGGCTCGGGGCTCAAACTCCCTCCCTGCCAGTCCCCGACCAAGGCCTCGCCTCGCCTCCCCCACAAAGACCCAATGGAGAACGCCATTTGCCTATCCGCAAGCTGTCCGGTATTTTGACTCCCGTCCCCCAGCCTCCTGGAGCTGTCTGGGCTGTGGGTGAGGCCCACCTGTTGTCATGGGGTCCCTTCAAATCGCTAGGCCTTAAGCAATGTCCTCCCTTTGCCAGTGATGCAGATGGACTCACGTGAGTGCCCCTGCCCTGTATCTCCACAGAATCCCTGGGCCTCTACGATGCTTTGAAGCCCAGGAAGCCTGGGCGTGAATTTGACTTCGATGCAAAGCCCAGGGTTAGAAGAAGGACGCGGTTGTCCTTTGACGTCAAGTACCTGCAGAAAGCTGACGCACCTCAGCCGGATTCCTCTTTAGCTCGTCAACAAAAACCACCCAGGGCTGGTAAACAATCTTCATCCCCACGACCAAGGTTCCTTTCCTTCCAAGAAAAGCTCCCAACTAGATTTGATGTGGAAGACGGGCTGGAGGAATCGCCTAAAATCACCAAGAGGCGTTTGACCCAACAGAAGCCTGCTTGGAGCACGAGTATTGAGGAAGACCTAGAGGAATCTCTGGAAGAAGTGGAGAGCTCTTTCGGCCAGGAGAGGATCCAGAAGTCACAGCGATTCGCTGCAGCCAGGGGTGAGCCTTTCAGCACGCATGCCCTGGTAGAGCACAGGTGGGCAGTCCGTCATGCACAAGCGTGTCCACGTGCAGGGCTGGTGTCCGCTTGTGCGTCCGAGTGCGAAACGAAGACGGCTCATTCGGAAACAAAAATATTGCGTGTGAGCCCTAAAGTAGCCAGCTGGTTAGCTTGGAGGGAGAATTGCCTAGTGGTTAGGGCATAGCGCAGGCGTCAGGGCTTGTGGGAACCATTCCCATCTCTACTACTGCCTTGCTGCGGGGAACTTGGGCCAGCCACCTCCCAGGAAACATCCCAACTGCCCTGGTAAAGGTCGTGCACTTTTTGCTTGGCTAGGCACAATGTTTATTTACAAATTGTGCCCAGCCGGGCAAAACTTATAGGCAGGCAGGGAAGAGGCCGGTCAGGAATTGGCACCTTCCCTGTGGCCTGTGTTTGGAACAGAGCATCCCAGGCAGTTCACCTCTGAAGTTAGTGCTGGAGACGCCTGCTGGATTGGCTCGTCCGTCTCTCTGCCAGGGTCTGCATCCAGCCCCCATCCTAGATAGGGACCCCGTTGTGCTAGAGGCTGTACAAACACAGCCCAAACAGATGGCCCCTGCCCCACAGAGCTTCCAATCCAACTCCATCTCTGAGTCCGTTTGCCGCTCACGCTGATCCCCACGTATAACCTTCCTGCGTTTGGTACGTGACTATTGGAACAGGCACCTTCTCCTGGCTTTGTGCCAGCGGGACAGGGGCTTTCGGGACAGGGCATGGAATGCGTTCTGCCCAGCATGCCTCTGTCGCATCTAATTCTACGCACAGTCTCTTCATCCACGTTCCGGCTGGGAGGGAGCCGTCACACGGCTCCCTGGAACTGACCTGTTCTTGATTCTGCAGGGCCAGTGGGGACGGAAGAGCCAGGGATGGCATCTGCTGCTGGCAAGTGTGTCAGCGATTATGAAGGTAACTGAAGGAGCAAAGGCGGAGAGAATTCACATGTATCTGATTTAAATCGGGGGGGGGGGGATTTCTTTAAAGGGGCCTCAGCCCAGCCGCCAATGTATGTGAGCAGTTTTACCCCCACTAGGAGGTTAATTTCAGACACGCTGGCTAGTTAATGGCAATGTCTAACCGCTAGGTGGCAGGACTGGGGCCATGGGTGACCTAACTTCTATTCCCAGTTCTGCCACTGGCCTGCTGGATGACCTGAGGCAAGTCACTTCCCCGCTCTGTGCCTCAGTTTCCCCATCTGTACGAGGCTCATGATCGCGACCTCCTTTGTAAAGTGCTTTGGGATCTACTGCTGAGCTCCGTGCATGGGCGTTGTTATGACCTGGGTGTGCAGGCCCAGTAAAGCAGCTAGATGGCTCCACTCTGGCATCTGCCTAGATGGAGGTAGGAGGTCCGAACCCGAGCACCTGCAACACAACAGAGGATCTGGCCTAATCTCTCTACACATACCTCCATACACCCATCTAGCTACCTTCAGTATTTAGGTGACCAGAGTATCTGAGCTCTTCTCATCTTTAATTTATTTACAATACGTCTGTGATGG